AAAAAAATGAATGGATTAGAAACACACCTTCGCTGTTCCTCCAGGAAATGTATACGGCGTTTGTTTGCGGAAGACATGGCCAACACGAGAACATGGATGAATTTCTAGTGACCCACCACACATCCAAACCTAAAGCCAAAAATTACATGCCAACAAGGTGAAAATTGGTTTCGCTGGCTTCCATGAAGGTGACAATTTTCAAAAATATGCGCTCACTCTAAACGATATCTCAAGATTCTCTCCTCCCCAAACTTGCATGCCCTCATCATAGGATCCTATGTCATAGAAGAATTGTTTATCAATTGCAAAAAGGCCACCAGCGATAGTGGGAGTTCTGAAATCCAAGCAGTTCTAAAAAAAGTAAAAAGTGACGAAGATTATTATATTGTTACTGAATGGGAGAGGCACGATCCCCTTTTCTTCTCGTCAACTCTCTTTTCGGAACAGGGTACCAACGGAAGTTTAGGTGCCAGTTAAAACCACCCCAAGTGGTATCAGACGCAGTGACGTATTCAAATGTGTCATCTTAAATACCTAGATTTCATCGCTGCGAAACAGTAATAAGCAAAATGTACCAGAAATGACATCAATGATAGGTGCAACAACGCGTTTCCTATCACCCACAACCCTATCCACCAACGGCTCTAGCCAACCTTCAGTAACCTAAAATTTCATAGAATTATAGTTGAATCTAAATAAATTTTATTAACCTCTATAATATATAACAATATCGTATTAATTCAATTCATCGAAACTAGTGGTATTCATACCACTTGTAGATATAAAAGTCAGAAAATACTTTCTCATGAAGTACAAGACAAGTACTGAAGATGTTATTTGTCAGAAGTTGATCAACAACTTAATAATTTGGCTTTGATTGCCGAACATAAATGAATTGAAAAAAGAAATATTGGCTAAGCCTATTCGAGCTTCTCTGAGAGTCGCTTATTTATAATTTACCGATTTTACCGATACCGATTTTTTTAAAATTTCAGTATGTTCCTG